GGTTCCATGCTGCCCTGGTTTTATGGTTCCTCACTATGAACAAGGAGCAGATTCAGCATATATTACGTGAGATAAGAGGATCATGTAGCTAGCAGAATCACACACACAGAAAACACATTTTTCTTGGCCAATTTCTATAATTACTTTTGCATTTGCAGCCACAGCACACCTAAATGTTCTACATTTCCTATATTCCTCTTGTAAAAGAATTACAAAATCTGAAAGATAAAATTGCAGATTTCAAAATAGTGCAACTAGTATTTCCTATTAATGCAATTATTCTGTACATGTATATAATTTAAAAAACCAGCTCATGCAAGTATTCGTACCACTAGGACTATCAATTCAATTAGCAGTTTTGGCAAGATTTCACTAATGCAACTAGAAATACTGCTACATGGCTTTTGTAATCAGACCAAATTAAACACCTAATGCTAGCTTTTGCACAATATTAGGTTCAATGATGGAGAAAAGGTCGTGCTCTGCTCACGCAAAGCAGGGCAAAGGGGCAGAAATCATATCGAAGAGGAACCACAAACCTCAACAGCCAAGGTTAGTACACCGATCATTTGAATTCAATCTCCTTGTGTGTTAGATGCATGGAATATGTAATGATGAGAAACCTTCTAACTGTCAAAACATGAAATCTGGATGTTATAACAGAACATGAATCTAAAAAGAAGAACAAGGCAGCAGAAAATATCAGAGGCACAATATCAGATTCAGAATTACGAGGAAATGATTCGCCAAGAAGAAAGCAACAATGATGTAAAATTACTCCTAATTCAAAACAGTTGACACAAACAATAAATAAATGAGAACTAATGGCTTTTTCATTATCTTGTAGGTTTCAATTGCTTCCCTAATGCAACTAATACAAGCACCAGTCCAGTTTGATCAGCTACTTAGGTAAGAAACACAATTCAATGATGCAATGAAAAAAAAGAAGAATATGATAAAAAGCTATATATGTACTCAGCTGCTTGCTTTTTTTATGAAGCAGAATAATATGTATGTCACAACAAGCAGATGTGATGATTATCCAACATCAATGAACTCACAAGAAGCAATTAAAGAAGTACAGTTAGCTCCTTATCAAATATTTGCAGGCACAAATTGTTTCAGTGACCTTTTAAATACCTTCACATACAAAAAGGTGAGCAAAATCATTGCTTAGATTAAAAAATGCTAAGATAAGAAGGTTGTTTTTCGACTAAAATATATTTCAATGTAGGGAGGCTACACTAAACTTATGATGGAACAGATCATGAACTCTCAGGAGGATAATCTGACAAGAATACATAGGTAAAATTTATAATACCAGTATACAAAAATTACAATTCAGACATGCAAATTACACACATATGTGCAATGTAAATTCAGCATAACAGGACTGTAATTTCAATGCTTCATTATAAACTGTGCAGCAACATAAAGAGATGCAAGGATCATTAACAAAGATGATACTTGGAAATGACAGGAATGAGGTAAAACTATATTATATATGCTTGTTAAACTAGTCGTGTTATATTATAAATGGTAACCATTCTCATTATCAAACAAATAAAACAGAATATGAGCCTTGAAGATCTAGATGGAATCTTTGGACCACAGACTGACCGGTCCATATCAGAGTCAAGAATGTCATATGAGGTAGATACATACAGCTAAGCTAATTTGATTACATTTATAAGCAATACAAATATGTACTGGCATCAAAGTAAAATTTATCTTTGCAAAAACAGGATGGAGAAATGGCAATCGTCGCTGATGATGATGGAGCAACGACAAGCATAGTTGATTATGATAGATCTGAAATTCAACAATACCATTGACAAACTGATGTATTCAATAACATGAACATTGATGAGGTACATAAAAATGATCTCTTCAACTATTTTAGTCCACACTTAAAAAAATATTTGTATTATAAATAACATTACTCAGAAACTAAGACTGTTGCTAATATATTTACAGGTGTAGCATGAAAATCAAGATGATCAACCAACAATGGAAGAAAATGACTTGAGGATCATAGCAATAGAACCAGCAAGTTCAGATATTACATCAGCTATAACAGATGATAATGAGCATGTAAATGGCAGCCAGGAACTGACGGAGGAAGAGATTGAAGAATTCATAAAAAATGAGCAGGTTGCAGCATCTGAAGGAAACAATGCACCAAACAAGAGCAAGTACACCCCACAACTATCGATGGAATTTAAGACTAGGCATGATGTTCACCATTTCTTCAACTTCTATAAGTTCCTAGCCGGATTTCAAGTTGCCATAACACATAGACAAGAACTCAAAGTAAGAAGAGAAATAATGAGGTAGTCAAAGTGACAATGAGATGCAATCATCAAGGAAAAGAAAAGGAACCAAAGTCTTTAGAGCAAGAAGAAGCTGAAGTAGACAAGGATGTTGGAAAGAAACCAGTAAGGAGAAGGAAAACAAATGTTCAGCAGAAGTCGGATTGTCCTTATGTTATGATGGTGAAAGGAGTTGTATGGAAGATTAAAACTCTTGATTTGGAGCATAATCATGAGCTATGCTCTAGAGACAGGGATCAGCTATTTTCTGGTCACAAGTATATGACAGAGATGGAAAAAGGACTTATCAAGACTCTGAATGATAACAATATCCCGACTAGAAAGATGGTTTCTATTCTATCGTATTTGAGAGGGGGGCTTACAGCTCTACCGATGAAAAAGAAAGATACCAGCAACCATAGGACAAAGCTGATCAGAGAAGTTAGAGGACAGATATGACACAAGTACTGGATTATTTTAGAAAGAAACAAACTAAGGATCCGTCTTTCTTTTACAAGTTTGATTTAGATGAGGACAAGAGAGTGAAAATTTTGTTCTGGACAGACTGCTCTTTGAAATATTATGCAGATTATGGAGAATGTGTAAGTTTTGACACGACATATATGACCAACAGATACAACTTACCTTTTGCACCATTTGTTGGAATCACAGGACATGGGCAAAGTTGCCTTTTTGGATGTGCTTTCCTGCATGATGAGACAATGGACACTTTTAAGTGGGTATTTCAAACTTTCCTTGAAGCAATGGGAGGAAAACACCCTCAAACGATCATCGCAGACCAAGACATGGCGATGAAATCAGCAATAGAGCAAGTCTTCATAAACACAAAGCACAGAAATTGCTTGTTCCACATAAAGACCAAATGCTACAATAAGAATATCAAGGTCTTTGCAGCAAACGATGGACTATACGAAGACTTCAAAGATATAGTGAACAATAGTTTAACAGTGGAAGAATTTGAGCGCCTTTAAAAGAGAATGATTGAGAAAAGAAACCTTCAAGAGAATCACTATTTTTTCCAAAATGTGGGAAATGAGGAAAATATTTATCCCGGTCTACTACAAAAATGACTTCTTTCCTTTCATACAAACAACATCCAGAAGTGAGGCAACAAATGCTAGGTTCAAAGATAATGTAGGGCTAACCTATAATATCATTAGCTTTCTGAAAGAGTACAGTCGGATTGTTGATACCATAAATCGAGCAGAAAGACTGGAGGACAGCTATAGCAAGTAGAAAAGGCCAAAGGAATTTATATTCGGCTACAGAATAGAGCAGCAGGCACAATAGCTATACAATAGAAACATATTCAAAAAGTTCCAACTACAACTGAAGGCAACATCAAGGCCGAACTACAGGGAAACCAAATATGGGAAAACATTTGAGTTGTGGCAAAAAAAGTAACCAGATTCAGGAGGTTCATAGGTTCAGGACATATACACTACACACTGACCTAACAGAAGGAGAAGAAGAATTTACCTGCATATGTGTAAAATTCAGCAAAGATGGGATACTCTGCTCTCATATCCTGAAAATAGTCATTGAAAAGGAAATCAACACAATTCTAGACAAATACTTCTTAGACAGGTGGAGAAAAAAGATATGAAGTTACATGTTGAAAAACAAGAAGAAGAAACAGTTGCAACAAGCTCATTGTTGAGATTCAACATATTATCCAGGAAGTCAACAATACTTAATTCAAAAGGATCAAAAAATGAGGAAGCCATGGAATACCTTATGGCAGAATTCGGCAAGATGGAAATTAATTTAGATAGAATGTTATCTGCTCAGCAAACAGGTAAAGCACAAAATGACCAGCAAGGGAATGAAGAAGGAGAAACTATAGCAGTAGAAACTAGAGATCCACAGACTGAAATAGATGATCCAGAAAGAATTCAGAGAAAGAAAAGGCCACCTAAACCTATGAGAATGAAGACACATAGTATAAAATTTCAGTACATACAAATATAATTTTAGTACATACAAATAGAATTTGAATCCAAATACACATATTCTTATTTATGTGAACTAATAATGTTTTGTATACTCTTCTGTGAAGCCAAAAAGAAAGAAGAGGAAGGAAACATCAAATGGTAGCATCGATCCCGAAGCCACAACACACTAAGGACATGGTAATTAAAGACATGCAGCAATTCACGATAATCAACAGATAGAAGCAAAATTTAAGTAGCCAATATATTTATGTAATTTATGTAATAAGTAGGATGTTACAAACCTTAAATTATATTATGCCTAGATCTAAAATTACATATGCTGAGAACTACAATTGCAATGTCCAATATCTGCAATTTACATTATCAGTGATTCCAATTGTGTAAGCGAATTTTATATTTGTCTTGTTTTCATCAGCAGCAGGTAATAATAGTAACAGAGCACTTAAAAAATTCAGTAGTATGTTGCTCCTGCAGGCACCAACATGTCTCCCATGACATTTACTGACCTTATTGTTGAAGTTCCATCTACCATTATGTGTTAAAATGTCTTCACCATTCCCAGCTTTAAGCTGAACAAAAAAAGACAGTTATTAGGTTTACGCCTTCAAAATTCTATGACCATTGTCAAAGGCTGACAGGCCTCCAGAAAATGATTGCAATTTTTGTAATGGTGAGAAGAGAGATATACTGAAGTTTATTGATCATGTCAGCCCTACAATAAGTTATGTGGGAGAAGACACAAACTTATAGTTCCAGCAAGTGCATAAGCAACAACAAGAGGTGGCGAAGCAAGATAGTTAGCCTGAGTTAAAGGGTGCACACGACCCTCGAAGTAACGGTTACCCGACAGAACAACAGCAGCAACAACATCTGTGAAAAAGAGGTAAGCGATAAGCAATCCATACAGAAAAAACTGAAATTTGTTATAGCTAAATAGTCAATCATCGTAAGATTAACTTACCATTTTCTGTAATGGCAGCTGATACAGATTCATCGAGATCACCAGAGTTTCCAATGCAAGTGGTACAACCACAGCCAACAATATGAAATCCTTGCTGGTTCAAGTATTCTTGAAGGCCACTATAAATAGAAGTCACCAGATTCGATTAAAACATGCCATCCGATACACATTGAAATTCTATGTTTCCCTGTTCTTTATTAAACAATGACAAGATACCTCTGATGCAAGTACTTTGTGACAACTCATGATAAAGGGGCAAGGCTTGTCTTCACCCATGGTTTAACCTGAAAACAAATGCTATCTCACATCAGCAGAAAGCACATAAAGGCACTCAGCATAACAGCTCATGATTACATTACAAGAGGACTAACCTCACGACCCAACTCAAAGGCTTTCTTGGGCACCGCAAAAACCTGGAATTTCATACATGTATTAGGTTAGTAGCATCAGATGAAGCAAATGTTATGCAAATGGTATACAGCCAAGCAGTTACCTTGAACCCAACTTTGTAGGCATGCATGCCAATCTGATTTCATTTCCTTCAGAGGGACACGATCATGAGGCCTACAAGTTGAGAAACACGGTAAGACCCAGTATATACCCCCACCCCCCAAAAAAAACTGAACAGTTCCTACTGAACAAAGCCAACGAGAGAAGCTTGAATCCACATCCCCGCGAGGGAAATGCCAACATATGTATGCATTGAGAAATATTTCATGATTATATTTGCCACAAAATACAAATGCAATAGTAACAAAAAAAAAACAATTTGCAGGGAAGAAAACATACTGTTTCATCACTCCGGCCTGTCAGTTTAAGGTAATCCAATGTCACATGGTCCACAGGAAAGAAGCCCATGTAGCTCCATATTCTGGTGACATGTTCGCAATTGTGGCACTGTCAGCTAAAGATAGCTTACCCATACCTTCACCTGGACAGAAAAGATAAAGGAAAATATGTCAATAACATATAGTTAAATTGCATCAGAACAGCACATTCCATCTACTAGCACCAAAAGACTTACCATAGAATTCAACAAATTTGCCAACAACGCCATGCTTCCTTAGCATTTGTGTCACTGTAAGAACAAGATCAGTGGCGGTGACACCACTCCTTAACTTCCCAGTTAACTTGAAGCCAACGACACCAGGCAAAACCATGCCCATTGGTTGCATAAGGCAATAACAAACAGGTCAGGTGGACCTAGCTCAAAACCAATTAATAATATACTGTATAATCAACACATTTATGAGTTTGATGCTTAACTAAAACCCATGTATAATCAACAAAGAAAAGGACAACTATCACCAAATCTAGGCCAATCTTGAGACAAGGACCATACTACTAATCAAATAAATATGATTAGTAGATTAATAATCACTGCAGAGATTACAAAATATCCAGTGCTCAGTTCTTAGAAAACTAGTTCAAATAAATATGCATCCAAAATCAATCAACCAAAACCATTGTAAAGATCAAAAGAAAGAGCGGTCCATTGCTGCTGTAACTGCAAAGAGAACACAGTTCATCCAACCAAAATGTTGCAGACCAAGAGTGCACACCAAACTAAGTTGTAAAGATCAAAAGAAAGAGAAGTACGTTGCTGCTCTAGCTGCAAAGGAGAACACAGTTTATGCAACCAAAATGTTGCAGACCAATAGTGGCACAGAGACACAAAACCAACTAAAAAAGCAGAAAAACAGAAAAACTAGTATAGAAAAATGTGGTGTGTGCTAGCAAAAATCACAATATACAAAGAACAAGGTGAGTTAGCACAAATCACAAGAAACATTTTTTTTTCTATGAAATGACAAAGACAAAAATGAGGTGTGTTGACACAAATCAAAATTAACAAAGTTGAAAGATGTGTTACCACAAATCATAAGAGACAATTTTTTTTCTATGAAAGGACAAGGACAAAAACATTCCAATGGTCAACGCAAAGTGGGAACACCTCCATTGGGCCGGACCTCACTTCCCCAACATATGCCGGCTCAGCAGTACAAGTAGAAACACCTCCATCCGGCCAGACATCGGCCTCGATTTCGTGGAGGCGAGGCCTTGATCCGTCATCTTGACGGTCGTCGACCGCTTGAGCAAGTACTGCTCACCCTCCATGGTGTGCCGACCGGCGTGCCGCAATCCACAGTGTCTCGACCGAGTGGGTCGACGACGTTGTTCTGTTCACGTGACGTTGGCGCAACTGATGTGCCTCATGGGTGCTAAGCTTGCGCCTCATGGGTGCTAAGCTTGCACCTTGTGACCAACTAGCTCCCATGGGCGGAGTACGCTCCGTGACACACCGTCCCATGGCCGCTTGCGTGTTCTCATATGCCGTCAGAGATTGGGTGTGGCTTCCCCTTCGCCACCGCGTCCACGCGTCCGGCTACATGATGTCTTCCACATTGGCCTCCTCAAGAAGTTCCAGGGCACCCCGCCCGACGCTCCACCGCCCCTCCCGGTCATCCACAACGGCGCCGCCATTCCGGTGCGCCGTGCGCACAAGAGATGTCATGTGGGGGCGATCACCAAACTAGTCCAGTGGGTCCTAATGCGTGCATGGCCGGTGTACTTTGCTTCTTTATTTACTTCATGTAATATCTACCTCTTCTTCAACAACCTCGCCCCAACCACAGATCGCGGCTACGCGATGTTTGGTTTAGAGCACCGAAAGGAGGACCATGGAAGCATAAGGGGGATGCCCTGATCATGGTGAAATATGATGGTTTCACAAAGCTCTCCCATGTGCTCATCACAAGCATTCCAATGTGGATCCGAATTTATGATGTTGGCGCACTTGGAAGCAAGATTTGTAGTCATAGAAGTGGGAGACTCCATTAAGGACTTCAAAACGGTGAGGATTGATTTCCCCTTGGTGAACCCATTGAGAAAGGCTGTGGGATGATGGAAAATATGAGGGCGTTCCTTTCTTCTGTTTCATTTGTGGGGGCATTGGCCATGCCGCCCGTGAATGCCCAGAAGAAAATCTGAAGTGGGGCCAAGTTTGGAACTGAGCTGCGTGCACTAAACGTGGTCTGAACTTCAGTGAGGGGTGGCAAGCTGCCTGATCTGAACATGGCAATACCGCCCTCACCGCACCCTTGATATATATATCTTCGGCGTCATGGACTCAAATGAGGACTCCGGCTCGCTGTCTTTGCATGGACAGGGTGCTGGGGGTGAGACAAAACCATCCTTGAAGGAGCGCCCGGCCAATACAAGCAAGCATGGTGGGAGTGACCGCAAACTAGGAGCAAAAGGGCCGGGAGTGATGAAGGATATTGATAAGCTTAGAATGAGTAAAAATTTTTTTGATGAAGTGTCACACCCGGTTTTAAAAACAAAACCAGATTTGTCATATGTGTGCCCAGAAAGTCCACACATACAACAACAGAGTGAATAGTATCAAAATAATGTTATCAAATAATGTATACATAGTTATATTAACACTTACATCAAAGTATCGCGGAACGGTACTAATCTTCAAACTCCATTCTTCACAGGGACGGCTGACTGGGGGTAACGTACGCCTAGCAATTCCGTTAATCTTCTAGGAACTCCTCCATGTCTTCTTATATCTTCTGAGCAGCTTCTATTAGAGACTGGGGGTGTGGGGGAAATAGCAAGGGTGAGCACATGTCGTACTCAGCAAATATAACATAGGGTTCATGAGGCTCAAAAGGATAACATTGGTTTACTGCGGTTAGCTTTTAATGAGTCACAATTTTAAGCAATTGAGTAGCAACAAGTTTATCATAAGCCCATATAAACACATGACCACGTAAACATGAATAATGAATAACATAAACAATTAACCATTAGTGATCATCTATTCTATAAGGGTCCAAGGCCGCTCATGACCGTGAGCACGGCTGATATACCAGTTTTACACTCTGCAGAGGTTGTACACTTTCACCATGAGCCGTGATTTACCCTTTCGCCCGAGGTGATCAGCCTCTTGACCCACTACCAAGGAAGGTCGACAGGGTTCACTATGAAATCTTTCAAAGGTTCGTCTAACAAGGTAGTAGCCGCTAGGTTTCCAATTGGCAAGGGAATATAGAGCCCCCTTCCGAATGGCACATTCTATGCAGGCTATACACATAGGGACAGAGGCCGCACTATACTCAGCTCGGCAAGCCCTTTTTGCGCCCTTTCGGATAACCACTAACAAGCTAGAAAAGGTCCTCATGCTTGACTAAAGCCAGAGCCATATAGCACTTATGGTTGTACTGTAAGTCCCAAATGATCGCTTATAGATAAGTCCTTAAGAAGAGGAATATAAAGCATCAAAAAAACTATGCTCTAGCCCCTTGTTCCTGGTTGCTAAAAAGCATCTTTTAGTGTTTATTGCATAATCCATTAATCAAGTTATAAGATCATGGTCTTTTCCAGAGCACTAGCATCACTACCCAATGCAATAATCCCATATGTGTCAAGGTACGAGTACAAAGCTAGGAAATCCTTACAGTGGTAATCAAGGTAGACACATGCAGTATGAATTAAATGATTCGAAGTGAATAGGTGTCAAGGATGATCCCATACTATACTTGCCTTTTATACTTCCTTTCCACTCAAGACAACTACTCATACAAAGTCTTCAGTCTCCTTTTCTGCAGCTTCCGGCCTCCGGCGCTTATGGACAACTCTTCTTCTACTCGCAGATCGTAGCAACCAAGCACACCAACAAACATACAAACAACAAATAGAAGCAACTAAGAAAAATACACCACACAAGAGAAAACAACCTACTAAAAGAGAACCAATCGCTACGGTCAGCAGAACGCAAGAGACGCTGGAAACGGAGCTACGGTTGAAAAGAAACGACTACCGAAAGTTTTATATTATAATAGAAAAAGAAAAGGCCTACTTACTAGATTAATTTTAATTGAGAAAAATCATATGAAGCATATAAATTCAGATTATACAAATCATATTTATTTTAAAAGTCGAGTTAAACTAATCAGATTTTAATTATAAACATGTTTAATCCATTTAAAATTTATAACAGTATAAAAGAGAAAACATGTGATCATCTAATTCGAATTTTGTATATAAAACAAGTTTAAACTAACCAAATTATAATTAGAAACGTACAAGTTAACATGAATCAAATTAGTGTTTATTTGCGAAAGATCGATGTTTACTATGTTGCTTTTGATTATAAAATTGGTTCTATGCCTATTAATCAATTTAATTTTTAATCATGTATAGAAAAACAAGTGAAATGAAAAACATTAATACTAATGCGTAGAGCACGCCGACACGAATCTAACGCAACTTGAACGAACCGAATTGAAATTATGACGATTAAATGGCGGAATTTACGAACCAGTGGCACTTCTGTAAATAAGTCGTCTTCCTCCTTGGGGTGCACGTACAGGACTAGAACTTGGTCGTGGGAAGCACAGTCAAGGGGCCGGGCTCGTCGGCCGACTGGGGTTGGGACACCTCAGCCTGGGGCAGCAGCCGGACAGCTGGCCGAGCCGGCAGCGGGATCACGCGGCCGCGCGGTGGCGGCCAAGCCGCGGCACGGGATCACACCGTCCTGTACGGACGGCGTTCAAACGGCAGGCGGCGGTGGCTGCTCCACAGGAGGCAAGCAGGGGCGCGCGAAGGGCGACGAGGGGGCGGCGCAGGTCCGGAGATGGTTCAGGAGGCGACGGACCAGCCTTGTGCGGCCCGGTGAGGTGCACGGCCGGAAAACAGTGACGAAGAAGCTTTGGCATGGAGGTGCTCGCCGGAAAATTCACCGGAAAAACGAAAACGAAGGGGAACGGTCATAGGGTGACGGATTCGCGCAACCAAGTACATAACGACGTAGAGGACGAAGAGGGCTACCTCTATATAGCGATGGTTGATGCCGGAAAGCGACGGTTCGGCCGGAAAAGCTCGCCGGCTTTAGATGTACGGAGATAGAAAAAAAGGATTTTACATATAGAATCAGAGCGTCGAGAACAACACCGTCCTATATACAGTGATAGGGTTTGAGGTAGGTGGAAAAACAACATATTTTATTATTTATTGGAATTATATAATTTCGTGATTAAAATGATTTCAGAAAAGTCCAGAATTAATATTTAAGCCACGAAAATTACTCCAAAAGCTCTAAAAATTCGGGAAAATTTCTCAGACATTATGGAACATGAGGAACCCAAATAAAGTA